GCGTATTAACGCGGGTTCTAGTACGTTATAATCTTTTATTTCTTCTATTATTAATGGCACATGCGGTTGAATATAAGACATTTTGAATTTCAAAATAATATCTAGAACAAATTGCGATCATCACACAAAATCAAAACTTTTGGCCAACTTGAACCTACGTTTTGACTTTTCTTGGTCAAATATTTGATCTTGTCCTATCATTTATAAATACCTATAAAATGCCTCTAATCACAGTGTTATTTTCATATCATTTCATTTCAACGATCTCTAAAAATGAAATATTCAACAACGCCATTGCTTGCTTTAATCTTCTTTTTCGTCATCATATTGGAATCAAACTCATCCTTGGCAAATCCCGAGACTTTCATACAATGCCTAACCACAAATTCCGACCCCAAACATCCCATTTCCTCCGTCGTGTTCTTCGCCGGAAACCGCTCCTACTCCACCGTACTAGAAGCCAATATCCGTAACCTCCGTTTCAACACCTCCACAACTCCAAAACCCTTCCTCATAATCGCCGCAACACATGAATCGCACGTCCAAGCCGCGGTTACTTGCGGCCGACGTCACAACCTCCAGATGAAGATCAGAAGCGGCGGCCACGACTACGACGGTTTGTCATACGTTACGTACTCTGGCAAACCGTTCTTCGTCCTCGACATGTTTAATCTCCGGTCGGTTGATGTTGATACGGCGACTAAAACCGCGTGGGTCCAAACCGGTGCCATTCTTGGAGAAGTTTATTACTATATATGGGAAAAGAGCAAAACCCTAGCTTATCCCGCCGGTATTTGTCCTACGGTTGGTGTCGGTGGCCATATTAGCGGCGGAGGTTATGGTAACATGATGAGAAAATTCGGTCTCACCACCGACAATACTATCGATGCAAGAATGGTCGACGTCAATGGTATAATTCTAATTAACATCTCTAGCTTCCTAAATCATCAATATGCTAACTAAATTCGATAGATTTAGTCAAGGTTCTATATACCGACCAAAATTATTCCAACTAATTTTGGCCAAATCGGTTAAAAATTTAGTCAACTTTGATTTAGTTATCTATTTTTTTTGTTTATCA